ACACACACACACACACACACACACACACAATCCACAGAATGCTTTCACAGTCATGATTTATCATCAAAAAATACTGAACACACAGACTGCACTGGTCACATGGGCTGTAATCAATATAAGGTGCACATACATACAAGTCACACCAAACCACCTTGAACTTCTGCACACTTATTTTTGCTCACATGACTCCTCCGGTCCTTAGATATCCATCCACTGAGCTCAAACAAGCTCTTATCGTCACTGCAAACAAAGAAAATAAACCCCTCCTTCTCCAAATCTGCCTCTCTAACTTGACATCCGTGTGCTGTCCTTCTCCATCTGTCTGTCTGACAGAGATTATGAGTTAATTTACTTCAAAAGAAAGATTGAAGGTTAAAAAAAGTCTTAGTCAAGGATGATCCTCATAGCTAAAAAATAAATAAATATCTGACAAAAATCCCTTTTGTTATGTTTCTGTCATTAGACATAAATAGTCTAAATCTTTAATATTTATCTGGCAAATAATTTTTCCTCACATGTTGATATTCCTCAAATAAAATCGTTTTGGAGCTGTACTGGGGAACAGTACTATTAATCTAATAATGACAATGCGATAATGCAATATTTTTCTCTGAATGAGAAAGAGATGATTGAACACACATTAAAGCATTTATTAAGAAAGTGATGTGTTTATTTAAATTTTAATTAATACCTTTGAAGCTAAATGTTTTTAGCCTCAAATTTCCCACAGATTTCCCACCAATAACCTCTAACACCAGTTATTAAAAGGACAAACTGATCTTTAAGTGTGTTCTCTCTGGATCTGACTTATCCAATGAGGTCCCTCTAACCTGTAACAGATGTTTATCAACTTTCCAGCTGTTCAAAAACGTAAAGCAACACTTTACCTTTAATCTTAGACATTTGCACTTGCATTTAGGCCCAAAGCAACACAGCAGTGTGTAATTATTGTGTCAGCCCATGCAAAGCCACATTTTAGATCATGCATGACACTCAAATTTAAAACACTGGACTACCTCATTGAAATGATGACTTTCCCCTCTTCCACTTCACAGTGAAATAACCTGAATTAATCTCATACTCATGGAACATGAAAAGTCTGAATACATGTGATTCATTCATCTTAAAAGATCGCTGTTGTTATTACATAATATCGACATCTTGCAGGAAAAGTTTTCAGTGAACCCGGTGTGACCCTGGAGCTGACAGTACTCTACCTTCAGCCACTGTAAAACACTCCATTTGGTCTGCAACCATTTGCCTTCGGGGCGACATTAATGATAATTAGTAGGCTCTCAGCATGCTAGTTAATATTCCGCCGTAAAATCCATGTGATGGGAAAGGAAAGAGAGAGAGAGAGAAAGAAAAGATACAATATGCTCAAATGTAGGGGGAGACCCAAAAAAACGAAAGTACATGGACTGCTAAGAATCGTGCACAATGGGACAATATTTAAAATTCGTGTTACACGCCGCGATAGCGCAATCAAATCGATGAGCTTAAAAAACCATAACAATAATTTTCAGTCTTATCTCCTCAAAACATGGCGTCTCTCTCTCTCTCTCTTTCAAACACACACACACACACACACACACACACACACACACACACACA